ACAAGGAGTTGAGAGGGAGCAAAGTCCAGACCAAGTGCAAGGTATGCTCTAAAAGTTCTGATTCAGATGCTCACAATTCAAAGCACCCTTGTAGCTAATACAAGATTGGTTGAAAAAGCCCTGAATTACCCTTAGATCCTAGTTACAAATACTCTGTGTGGGCAGTGGTCTGTGAATTGTACCAAGAACAAATACAGGAGAAGCTTGCAAAAATGAAAGTAGAAGAAGGCTGATACCCATGGAAGCAAGCAGATCCAACAGTATCAGAATGCATTGATGGCTTTTATTCAGGATGACCTGACAGAGGAACAATTGGCTGCAGCTGAAGATATAGTGGAAAGGTGGAATGGGCAGGAAGGCCCTGCACCAGAGACAAAAGCAAGGTGTGATTGTATGAGGTCAACTTCCCAGTCTTCAATTTATCCTGGTTCCCAGGAATGCAGCCAAGTATGGGTACAAGTATGTCTGAAACTTTGCAATGGAGATATGGAGGTATTGCAGAATGTGCATAGTGTGTATGGCTGGGTGAAAAAATGAGGAAGGAACTATACAGGCATGCACATGAGTCCACCATACATGCAATGACAGTATGGACTTCAATAATGAAATTGCAGATGGAATCCCCTTCAATGATGTCTGCACACTGGAAGGAAGCTGGCAAGAGTACCTTGGGGAAACATTTGAGGAACCAGGAACACTGCCCAAGCATGATGGCAAGTCAAGTCCCAAACATGCTCAGAAAAAGACAGTGGCCAAAGCAACAAGGACCAGCAAGGTTGACTCCATGAAATTGGTGAAAAATGCCAATGGAGAGATTTGGATAGGAGAAATTGCAGGCCTTAGCCAGGACCAACTACAAAAAATGGTTTGTGGATTTGTGACTGCTCACTACCATGAGTGGCCAGAGTATTTAGTGTCCTCAATCTCTGATGAGTGCTATCAGGATTAGCATGCAGAAATCCCTCGTCAGCAGTGCCATTCAAGAATTTTGGTCATCATCAAGCAGAAATGATAGCAGCCCACCATCTTCCTGAAGGATTTACCTTCAACTGCAACCCAAGCCACATGTGCATGACAACAGCTACCCAGCTGCTGTCCTTTTGGTGCAAGCAACAGGAATCCCATCCAAATGATGTGTTTGGATTTCAGAAATGGATCAATCAATCTGGCAAGCTGCAGCCACTGGTGAATAGAACTTTGGTACCCCTCCAGGTTGTGAGGCAGTGGAAATACTGAAAGACACCTGCCCCCAAATGCAAAAAGAATCCTGGAAGGAAAAATGTCAAGGGCAAGGGTAAAGCACAGGAAGAGGGAGTGGCAGATGATAGTGCAGATGATAGTGCAGATGACAGTGTGGATGACAGTTTGGATGATCACAGCAAGGCTGAGGTGAGCAATGTTGGAACAGATGGTCCCTCCACTAAAAAGGTGTGCCATGTGTGATTTTCATGCACAACTGATCAGTGCTAATGCAATTCTGGTCTTCAGGTATCTGGCAGGAGGCAAAACCATGCCAAGACACCATTCCCTTCTCATTCCCGCTCAAATCCCCCACCAGCTGATGGTTCCCATAGTGAGTGGCTCTCTGCACCTCCAGCCCATGCAAAGACCCTGGTGCATTGTCTGCAAAATAAAGTGCCAACTGACTATAATGGGCAGGAAAGCAACAGCCATGATTCCAATGATGAAGCTGATGAAGACACTTATTTGCCCACCCTATCCAATTCAAAGAAAATGGCAACATCCCTGAATAGTGAGCTTCCTGCTGTAACTTGTATTCACAGCACACCCTGATCTGCACTCAGGGAATGAGTACACAACTGAACTACAGGACCACTCAGAATACACAGATGAAGATGGATTGGAGAGCATTCCTTTCACTGACCACCCAACTGAGGAGGGGTCAATGAGCAGAAAAAAAGGTGGAAAGCTGAAATCTGCCCTGAAGTGCACACACCAGGCAAGTTTGGTCATGTTGAATCAGCTGTTATGGCTAACAAGTTTGCACTGTATATTAAGCAGGCTCTGTCAGAATCTAGTGAGCCAGACATGAATTGACATCAACCTGGGGCCAAATACTTGTCCAAGTCCAACCATAATGGATCTGTGACCACCAATGCACCATCTGTGAATGTGAAACAGGGGGTCCCTGGGAGCACCTGGAAGTCACCTTGTGTCAGAAAGGCCCATGCAAGGCCAGATGCAGATGTTCCATCTCCTGATGCAAAGAGATTGTGCAAGCAAACAGGCAGCAATCAGAAGCAGAAGTAGTTGTCAAATCCCTCAAACAGTCAGAGTGGAAACCTTTTTTGGAACTTGTGTATGGTCTATAGAGGGCTTAGCCTAGTGTGACACATTAGAATACAAGTGTATGGCATGTATGGTAGCTCATGACACCATGGTGGTTGTGAGAGGTGTCTTTGATATCAGAGAGAGGGATAGTTAAGTGGGATGGTTGAGCATGACAATTGAGCAGAGAGCTGAGTGGGACAGGTCTACGTATTGGCCATGTGGAAGCGACTGGTAGCTATCTATGTAGGGAGATATTGCTGCTCATCTCCCATGTATTGCTGTTACCCAAAATTTGGTTCCATCTGCCATTGTCCAACCTTGCTTCCCATGGTGTGAATGATATTCTCACCATTGTTCCTACAAGTTTAAATCTTGATTGATCATTGACCTATCAGTGAACCCATCATCATCAAATATGTGCACTGAACAGTCCTGCCAAGTTTGTTTCTGTCATCAAGGTGTGGTTGTCTTCATTGTTGGATCCAGTGACCTAAGCCATGCACAGCTAATGTAAGACCAATTGAGCCAAGGCAATCTAGCTCCTGTGTGAAGCAGTCAAAAAATCTGGAGGAGACGCTAGTACAACTGCATGAGTTGTGAGAGCCAACCCCTCCACCAATTGTCTCAAGTGGAAGGGCAGATATGGCAGGGTCGAACATGGATATTGTGGCTGGTGAGTGAACATGATTTCTCTCCAAGCTAAACAACAAACATTCTTTCACTATAGATTCATGTGAAAGCTTGGTGGATCAGTTCCTGCAGGAAAGGGAGCCAACTGCTCTGGCAGAGGCCAGAATCATGGCTGGTGAGTTGGCATGATTGCCCTTCAAGCTAGCAAACAAGCTAATTTTCTAGTAATAGATCCACATGACAACTTGATGAATTGGTTCCTGAATGAATGGGAACCAACTACTCCCCCAGTGGATGGTATGAACATGGATCTACTTGAGCAATTGCTGAATGCATGGGAACCATCAGCACTGCCAGTCACACATGAGCAATTAAACAGGATGGACAGGTCTTCCACACCTGCACAAGATGTTACTATGCAGGTCGATTTTCTGGCAGACTCACAGAATGTGCAGGAACCATCTCCTCTGCCCATCACCTGCAAATCATCAAATCTGAGGGACTGATCTCCTCAACCTGATTCTCTGACTAACCTGCTTGCTCAATTGCAGGATATGAGGGAACCAACACCTCCCCCACTTGTTTCAAATGTACCTGTTGAATCTTTTGACTTGGCAGTGGATGAGGACAATGGTGCAAACCATTTGACTTTTGGCATGCCTGAATGATCAGAGATGAGGGATCTTTTTGAGGAAATATGCAACAGTGAGCATTTATTTGGTTCTATTCATGTGATCAGTGATATCCATTGATTATGTAGGTGAACTTGCATCCGCACAGCAATCTCTTCAAATGGAACAATGGGGATTGGCACCTGTTTTGCATTGCGATCAAGGTATGGGCATGAGCTTAATCTGATACACCTTTGACATTGATAATTTTAGTCCTGGGTGCCTTACATGCCATGGTATCTTGCTATTGTGGAAACACCACTCCCAGCAACACACCATTCAATCCCACCCTCAATAGGCACCTTGTGTGGGCTGTGAATGCCATTGTGAGAGAATTGGGCACAGCTGCAAGGGACCAGTATGGTGCAGCCTCTCAGGGCCTTTGACTTGTCAATATGCTCAATTTGATGCAAGTCATTCAGTATCCACATTCCACCTTTGAAAATTGTCCCAAGCCATTCATGGCCAGCCAATCACACCCATCTCACCAGTCTATGGTAGAGATGGGTATCCTCTACTTGGCGTGCTGGATCAAGGTGGCCTCTGTACATCTGAAGCAGACTGCTGATATTGCAGGATGGCCTGCACATTGGTTTGCAAACCTAGCAATGGACATGGTAGGTTTTACATCAATTTTTCACAATGTGGGACTGATACATAATTCCTTCAGAATCAGCTTAATAGCTTGATTCTGGTGATGGTGTTGCATGCCAGTTATACTCCTCCCCTCCCAGCATGCTACCAAGCATACCTCAGACACCAAGATGATGAGGTTAGCTTCCATGATCAAATGCAGCTAATTCCCCTTAGTGCATTTAGCATAATTGACAATATCAGTGCCATTGTCCCACATTGGACCCCACATGCAGCTGGTCCCAATTCCAGCTTTGCATTCCCTTGGTGGCTATATTGTTCTGACGAATATGCAGTGGATTCCCAAAGATTGCAAGGCAAGGGATTGTTTTCCACAGCCTGGGATTTTTTTTAAGGTATGCCACTTATTCTTGTTGCTGCAAATAGTTGATGATGGTTCAGGGCTTATGGCCATTGCCTGAGGCACCAATTGCAGACCATCTCGATGGCCATATTGAGGAGCAGGTAAACTACTGCATCGAAAATATTTGGAAATATGCCAATGTCATCAATGGTTGGGGTCAACAAATTGACCATTTCTATGCTAGGTGGTGGGCATTGCGCAGGTTGTTGGGCATGCTGCTTCAATAGTTTACATGTTTTTGACTGTGGAGTTGGTTGAATATACATTGCTGTGAATGTCAATCATTTATGAGATGCTGCCCATTTGCATGATGTCTGAACCCCTGCCCATCTACACGATGTCCAACAATCCACCCATCTGCATGATGGCCTGAGTAGGTTTTTTTTTTTGCAGTTTATGATGCACACCCTTTAGCTCTGAGTACCCACCCAATCTATGATGTCAAAGCACCTGCCCATTTGCAAAATCTTGGCAACACCACCCATCCAAAGTTCAAGAGCCAGCATATCCTAATAAAATATGAGATCCACATTGCCTACTAAATCTTACATTAAATTTTGCAGCTTCAAATCAACAGTTGTCCAGTTGCAACTGGTCTAGGTAGTAGGTTGTCCATCCATGGTGATTGACACATGGGAACATGCACCAACTGATGTACATTGGCACACATGTAGTATGCTGGGCATGCTCTGTCACTGTCTACAGCTCCCACCCCATGCTCCAATGCTGAACCTGAAAATGCAATGATCATCCCTGGGTTGTAGCACAGCTGCAGATTCAATGTTGGAATGACAAAGTCCAAGGGCAGGTAGTCACCCACAGTTACCAGCATGTCATACCATGGATCTCATCCATTGATATCCCTGTGGTAAACAAGTTGCCCAATTCACCATCACAGACATGCTGCTATATGTGGAGCTCCATATCAGCAGTATGGAGCTCATATCTGAATCCACCCACTGTTCTGCCTGTTTGCCAAGGCAGGTCAACACTTCCCTGCCATCTGCATACATTCGTGGATGGATGACATGCAGGATCACAGATAACAGGGTATTGGTGTCAGACATTTGGTCGACCCATTCCCTTGTAGAAGTGTTTTCTGTCCTGGATTTGAGCAGCCTGTGAGGCTTCCAGGAAGCCATTTTGGGGCTTCAAGACAGATGAGCACTTTATTCACAAGGAAAGAAATGATCACCCACCCCATGACCCTGTTGAAACCATGTGGGTGACAGGTTGATGGTGCCTTTCAACTCAGCATTATTGCAGAAATATGACTTGTCCATCTGCCATGCCTGTGGGGAAGCCTTTATGCTCTCCCACAGTGGTTCCCTCAGAAGATGAAGGCAGTTCCATATGTCAGCCTGCCATTGCATTAAGTCAGTAGAATATGAGATTCTGCATTCCCTTACCCTTCTTTTTGGGCTGAGAGCATCTGGCAAATACCAAACGTGGATGGTGTTTGAGTCAGTCACCAGAATGGATGGCTCAGTCACTTCATGTGTATCTCTCAGCAGCTTCTGCATTGCAGGTTTTTCCACCCCAATTTTTCCTGACATTGACTGCAGGAAAGATGAAAACTTCCATCACACCTATTATGATGGACTAACTTGGGTGATGATAGGCCTGTGAGATTACTGACAATATGCATCTGCTTCACATAACACCTGGAAACATGAATTCAATATATCTGGAAGGGCATGAGGTCCACTGAATACCTCCTCTTGAAACCTGGCTTTCATGTATGACACAATGCAGTCTGTTAGTTCCATTTGCCATCATGTGGGGGGTTTTAGACATGTCTTGCATAGTATTCATGCTTGGGTTGGATGTGGTTGGAGTTGTATAGTGGGTGAGCCACTTGCAGCTTGTTGGACAATTACAGCATGTCAGGGATGCTTGCCTCAATATTTTGCTGTGATCCAATCAATATGTTGTGACACTATACATGCTATTGGTGTTGGGCCTGTCTTATGTTGTGACAGGGGTGGATCTTACTAGATGGACCTGTCCTTGTTTTATGGCAATATAAAAGATATTACTGAAGGGCCTGTCCATATGTTATGACCATATAAATAATACTGCTGAAGGGCCCATTCTTATGTTGTGACCACATAAATGATACTGCTGAAGGGCCCTTCCATATGTTGTGATGCTATAAATGATATTACTGATGGGCCCATCTATGTGCTGTGATGCTGTAAATGATATCACTGATGGGCCTGTCTTTATGTTGTGACAGGCATACATGTTGCTATTGATGGGCCTGTCCATGTGTTGTGACCGTGTAATTGATATTACTGATGGGCCTGTCTCATGTTTGTGACAGGGGCATATCTTACTAGATGAGCCCTTCCAATGTTGTGGGCCATCTTTATGTTGTGACAGGGCACATCTTACTGACAGGCTCTATGTGTTGTGACACTGTAAATGATATTACTGATGGGCCCATCCTTATGTTGTGACAGGCATACATGTTGCTATTGACATGGGCCTGTCCATGTGTTGTGACATGTGATTGATATTACTGATGGCCTGTCTTTATGTTGCAACAGGCATACATGTTGCTATTGACAGGCCCACCCATGTGTTG